ATTCCTGCGATGCTCAGCAGAAAGGAAGGCATATGCATTTTATAATAGATAAAAAGCTATGGTAAAAAGCCTGAGTGGTGGGTGTGGCCTTCTGACACACTTCCGGTGATGTCAGGGGGTGTGGCCTTCTGTCACTTCCGGTGATGTCAGGGGGCGTGGCATATGCAAATAAGTTATGCTAATGAGTTATGCTAATGAGCTCCGGCAGCTCTTTTTCTACAACAAGACCCCTGGTAGCAACACCACACCAAATTAGGTCCTGCTTTCCAAAGAGCATTAAAGGGGAAGGAGAGCAGTTAAGATAGCCATCCCTAAAGTGTGAAAGTGTGATAAGAGTGTTCCTGTGCTAGCTAATACAAGTGAAGTGGGAGTTGTGGCAATGAGGCAGAGATTTGAAACAGCAATAAGGTAAAAAGTGCTAGAAGTACTCATCCTTTCAGCATTTTTTTTTAGCAGGAGATACTCTTTCCAGATTAGTTGGTAGCGATGGAAAATACATGGACAGAAGTTGGTTTGCTGGGAATGAGGGAAGAAAATGCCTTGCTGGGGATGCGGGAGACCAGAAATGGCCACAGATATTTGTGAGCTCCTAGATAAACATGAGCTTGCAAGATTGTTTCCTAACACTGATCTCATATAAGGCATATACCCTTAACAATCTTTAGCAAGGGATTCTTTTCTAGCTAGTGGACTATTTTAAATGCAGTGCATGGTGCCTACTCTTTGGTACCATGGTGATCATTTTACAACTCCTGGAAATATAGAGGAAAGCTTACACAATATCTATTTTGTTGTCCTAGAAACTGCATTAATAAAAGTTGCTCTGTTCTATAGTACCTTCATCAAATTTTCTATAAACCAAAAGCTGAAAATACATGTATGTAGCTTGTTATACCACCTTGCTTGCAAAAAAATACAACATGAAGTTGTTATATTTTGGAACGATAGTATTGTTTATAGGTTATTTCTTGTCAAAATCATTTGCATCAGCAAGATATGCTGACAGATAGGGTGGCTGATGCATAGGGCTGCTAGGTCCCCCGGGAGGGCAGAGGTTCCCCCGCTAAAAGGGTCCCCAATCCACCAGTCCAGAAAAGGCCGGCAGGGGGAACCCCGCCCTCAAATTGTCCGATTCGGGCTGACATACCCAGCACGATGTCACCCAGATGTGACATCATCATGCCAGGCACGTCACCAACTGACGCTCTAGCAATCAGCCTGAAAACTCTATGGTACCATAGAGTTTCCAAGCTGATTGCTAGAGCGTCCGCTGGCGACGTGCCCAACATGATGGCGTCACTTCTGGGAGATGTCATTGCGACACACACGCAAATGTCCCGGGCAGGGACCAACT